GCGAATGCCATTTGGGACTGTCAAAACCATTACTAAAATCAAGATGTAGCACATCTACTACTTCCCACCTATCTACTAGCCAGTAGCCCTGTCAATGAAGGAAATTAGGTTGGTTTGGCATGATTTGTTCTTGATACGGACTTCCTTTGGAAAGCATTTTGAGATCCACTGATGAAAAATGCTAAATAAAGCATATAAAGAAAATATCTCGCTGACATACTGTCTGGAGTGGTTCACGCCTCAGGGCAGACTGTCAAAAGCAGGGTAGACACCCAGACTGGTGGTATGTTCTATTATTAGATTTCACCAGCCCCATAACAAATGTGAACTCCTAAGTATTGTAACAGTCTTACCATGTGGTCACAGAGAGATCCCCTTGGGCATTCCAATCTATCTTGCCACCTAGGCAAGCTGGACTTAGTGATGAATGGTCACTGACACCAAAAATCACAAAATATTCAGGTTATTGCCAGTTCCAACTGACCAGTCACTTACTCCAGGTCAATTCGTATCTCAGCTCTCACACCAAAGACAACACTTGTAGCCAATCCTATAGTAAAAACTAACTAACTAAGAATTTATTACTGGGAAAAAGAAATGAGAGAGTTATTTACATATTTAAACAGGCAACGTATATACACAATTGAATTACAGTTTATGGTCCCAAAAGGTGACAGAGTTGTAGTAATCTGTCTGCACTGAATGTCTTTTAGGGCTAGCCCAGGTTGAGCCTGGGGCTCTCTGCTTCTGTTTCCTAGCTCCAGCTCTGTGAGAATCCAAACAGCAAAGAGATGTAGAATTTTCATGTGAGCGGTCTCTGTTCCCTTCTTCCAGAATTCCAGCTGACGGAACGAGCTTCCTTGTATGTAGCATCATATTATCCTGTGAGAGGGCCATTTGCTCAGTCTTTTTATTGTGATGCTTCACAATAGCCCACTTAGGTTTGATGGTCTTTCTTGATGAGTGTGGGAACCCTCTTCCTGCTTGGGTTCACAAGTTCGCAGCAAGCATTTTTACAGTTATAAAGCAAAAAATTTATCTATCACCTTATAGCACGGGATACAGACATTACAAGTAAGATTAAAACATGCAGCAATTTACAAGCCTTTATGGAGACTAAACATTGAAGACATCTTTACAAGTCTCTTGAACAATACTACCACACAGGTGAGCTGGGCTGGTTTCCAGCTATGAGTTTGTTAGTGTTCAGCTGACTCCTATAGCCTTGGCAAGTGCTACCATCTACCAGCCTGTCTCTCCCCACCCCGATGACCTCACACATTTGTTTTGCATTTCCGATCAATATGGTTTATTTGTATTGTCCCATTTTACAGATGATGCCTGATGTGGTCAAATAGAGTGGTTGGTGGGCAGATAAGCAGGAGCAGTGTAGCAGGGCCATATGGATGGGAACGCATTATCAGATCTAGTGCTGGCAGTGGACAGTATCTAATGTTTTAGAGGAAGACTAAAAGAAAGCCATAGTGCACCCAGCAAATTGTGCAGTGCTGCAGTGAGGGAATGGGGGACACAATTCCTTCTTGACCCCCTAAAACAGTCATTTTACTACCTGAAGTGGATTTTTTGAAATCTGTCTCAAGTACTAGCAATTGCAGATATTATCATTCAGGGATGGCCAAACCGCGGCTTGCAAGCCACATGTGGCTCTTTTACAGTTAAAGTACAGTTTGCAGAGCCCCCCCCCCCACACACACACACACACCTCTCTGCCTACCAGACTTGGGGTTTCTGCCCTGCAGCGGGAGGACTCGGGGGGAGGGGGGCTCTGAGATGACTGGTGCCTACTGAGAGTGGGGGAGCACAATTTAAAGGTTCAGCTCCCCCCCAAGAGCTTGAGTCACCCGCTCCCGAGACACCTTCCCTCTTACATTCAGCGGCCCCTCCCTGCAACTCCTAGGTGTTAGTCCCGAGCTCCGTGGGGAGAGGCAGCAGTGGCTCTCCCTGCAGCTCCCACCTGTTTGCTGCTGCCTCTCCCCAGGGGCCACAGGGAGGGGCCCTGAGGAAGCATGTGACCAAGTGGGGCCAGCAAACCCTGACAGAAATCTGGGATCCTCACCCCGCACCCAGGCGTCATCTCTGGTTCTGCCCAGCAGTAAGGGAGGTCTCAGTAACTGGGAAGGGGAGCTTATAACTATTTCTGAGTAAGTCTGAACTGGATTTTTCTCATACAACTGTAAAGGATCGGTGTCTGCAGACCATAGACATGACTAGTTAGTCTATGGGGCTGGGGCCATCTTTTCACACTTGCCAACTCCAGCAATCCCACGAACAGAAAACAGATGGAAGAACTGAACTGTTCCTTGTGGCTAAGGATGCTTGGAGGAGATAATACATCTCCCTACATGACACTAAATTGCACAACTGCCAGAGTCAAGCCAGCAAAGGGATTCTGTTTTCCCCAAAGCTCTTCTCCTCCTCTAATTACATTTGAAATGTTTTGCTTGCTATTGAAAAAGTGGGACCATGCAGGAGGCCTACGTGTCATAGCCATGGGTTTTATTAGGACAGGTTTGCTGCTGGGGATTTCAGTGACAGCAGAACAGGCTCGGGATTAAGTACCTTTTGTTAAAAACATTGATCTGGGTAATCAGCACTTGTTACGGTGATCAGAAAAAAAAGCATGTTTGACAAAGGCACAGTAGTGACCAGGACTGTTCTTAAGACTAAGGTTGTACAAAAAAAGCAGTGACTGGTCAGTCACTTAGTACTTAATATCTTATAAAACTTCAGCAGAGACAACACACACATTGGTCTAAGTTCATCCCCAGCATAAGTGCAGCAAAGTCAATAAAGACCCTCTAAGCTTTCATACGGTGCACCTTGGCCTGGTCCCTTCTGTGCATCCCAAGCTCCTGTTGGCATCAGTTTTAGGTCTTCAAGGAACAGGTCTGTTACAAGCGTAAAGCAAACCACGCACATTTAGAGATGAAGTCAGCCCTGGCGTCTACAGCTCCAGAGATCCCCAGACAGTGGGATCAGGGTGGGAGAGGGAATCAGGTTGCAGGGTTGCTCGAGAGCAGAGGTTCTCAAACTTCTTTTGCTGGGCCCCCCCTTTGAAAATATTCCAGGCTGTGATGACCCCGCCCTCCCATTCTCGGTACCGGACATAGCTTTCGCAGCACCAGAGCAGATCCCCACAGAACTCACCATAACATGCCACCCTTAGTTCTGTTCTGCTGCTGAGAACTAACAGAGCTGAGCACCAGGCCAGCAGCCGCTGCTGTCTGGCCGCCCAGCTCTGAAGGCAAGGAAAAAGGACAAGCAAGGAAAAATCATGGATATTTGTTCACCTTCCAAAAATCCACCCGGACAGAGATCGGAGGACAAAAATGAAAGTCATGTCCAGGAAAACCCGGATGTATGTAGCCCTATTTTTTGTGATCTCATGACACCTTCCCCCCATAGCTTTATGACCCCCTTTTGAGTTGGGACCCCCAGTTTGAGAAACACTGCTTTAGAGGATCTCTGCAGGGCAGCTCACAGGGGCTTAGGACTGGTTAGGCCAAGGGAGGGGTGAAGCCGGTGGATCGGCAGAGCAGTGGATCCTCTGGCCTCTCTCTGCAATGGGGCTACGATAGGGAAGCACAGGGCTGAAATAGCTCCTGAGGAGCAGCTGCATGAGCTTGAGGTGCTCCCACTCTTTACCTTCCCATATCTCACTAGAACCCAGCCCAGGCTGGGCTGAGGATCTGGCCCACAACAGGCTACATTCTTTTGCGGTTTCAGAGTAGCAGCCGTGTTAGTCTGTATTCGCAAAAAGAACAGGAGGACTTGTGGCACCTTAGAGACTAACCAATTTATTAGAGCATAAGCTTTCGTGAGCTACAGCTCACTTCATCCGATGCATTCAGTGGAAAATGCATCCGATGAAGTGAGCTGTGGCTCACAAAAGCTTATGCTCTAATAAATTGGTTAGTCTCTAAGGTGCCACAAGTCCTCCTGTTCTTTTGTGGTGTAACTCCATTGGCTTCAAAGGATCTGGGTCCATTTACAAAGACAGCTTTGAAACAGAATGCTTCAACTGAGGTTTCGTTCCCTGAAAGGCAGCTGTGCCAATGCAGCACCTTCTTACTCGGCAAGTCTGCTCCTGGGTGTACGCTGTCTGTGCAGCCCAGTGAAAACACGAGAATCATTGTCACGTATCAGGGTGCTGCTTCGTTCCCAACCCCAGACACAATGGGCCAGATTTTCAAAAGACAGAGTCTCCGCCTCTTCACACTGGGTTTTGAAATTAAAAGTGTGGGGGATAATTAAAAGGTATCAATCCAGATTAAGTGTATACATCTATCTCTCTCTTCTGTAGAGAGAGATCTCTTATGTGTCTGTATGCTTTCATGGTGTGTGTGCACACACACACATATGATGGTCCCCATTTAAAAAGTCTAATTTACGAACAGTTACATTGCCCTGTACTTAGAATAGGAAATAATTAGTATTGCAGAGAGGGAAGTCTTGACTCTCTAATGGCATCTATGATGTATCCACTGTGAACTCTCCTCTCAACACGGAGCTTCACAAGGATATCTGCAATAGCAGCAAAGTGGGGTACAGAAAAAGAGTGGAAGAACTTACAGTCTAGTTCACTTAGTCTGACTCTACCCCAACATGTGGGGAGCCTTCTTGGGGTCCAGAGGAGGGGGGACTGCTGCTGCCTTACAACTGGCTGCCCTGCCTCCTTACTCGCGATATTTCTTTTAATATAGGCCCAGATTCTGATCCCCTTATTCCTTTTTAGAAACCAATGAATCTAGTCAAGAGGGAAGGTGCCACCCAGCCAGAGTAAGAGGATCAGAACGTGGTTCTTATAGGATAAGCTCCACAGGGGAGCGACCTTGTCTTCTCTGCCTCTATACAGCACTGGGCCCACTTATGGCCCTTTCTAAACAAAGGACATACCTTTTCAGTGCCCACAGGTTCCTTCTGGTGATGGGTATGTCACCTACCCAAGCATTATATATTTGTTCTTTTTCACCAAAAAGGAGTTGCACCCGGCTGGCACTTGGAATATATCGAAGTGAAAGACGCCACCCTGGATAAGACTTTCCGTTTCCAGTGTGATCGCTGGCTGGCTAAAGGCGAAGATGATGGTCAGCTCATCAGGGAACTGGCTTGTGCCAATAACGACATCCTGGAACTGAAGGAGCGCACATGTAAGTTGGAGACTTTCTCTGAGAGTCATCGGATGTCTGGAGCCATTGAAACCACTCAGCTGAGTGTCACCGGACCGGCACTTGGTGCTTCTCAGGCTTAGTTTACCTCAGCGTCTGTAGAAACACAGCCCCATGGTTTTATGGGAGAAGATTTATGAGGGCGAAGCGCACTGAGTCTCACTCTAGGCTGAAAGTGAAGGTGGCCCCATATGCATCTGTTGATGCTGGCAATATGCAGAGATGATACAAGGTTATGTCCTCCTTAGAAATAATGGGCTTGAATCTTTGAGGTGGAAAATAAATTCAGTTTCCAAAGGCTTACAGGTAACGTTGCCCCAGCTGCCTTGGGGCTGCAAGCTTGACTGCAGGGTTTAAAACCCCATAACCCTGATTCTGCTCTGAGTTATTCCTGATCTGACACCAGGGTAACTCCACTGATGTCAGTGAATTTACACACTGGTCTACAAAGCGGTGAGGGAGAAAGCATTATTGTTTAATAGCTCCAAGCAAAGTACCAGGCATGTCACAGGTCCCTGCCCTGAGGAGCTTGGACAATTTATATCATGTCACTCAAGGTATATCTGCATTTGGAGCTTGGGGTGCGATTCCCGGCTCAATGAGACATACCCGTGCTAGCTTTCATTGAGCTAACATGCTAATAACAGAGTGCAGCTGTGATGATGTGAGCGGCTAGCTGCCTCGAGTACAGATGGATCTGAGACACTAGGCGCATCCTTGTGACAGCTAGCCTCTCCCACCACTTGTGCTGCTGTAGCTACACTCTATTTAATGCATTAGCTTGATGAGGAGACAAACCCATGCTAGCTCTGCAGATGGGCATTTCACCCCCAGCTCCAAGTGTAGACACACCCTAACAAATCCTCATCTTAATTCAACTCTCTCCATTCAATTGGACACCCTTGCATAATAGGCCATCCATCTATCTAAAGTACTTATAAGTTCAAGGCTCTTAGGCAAAGTAAGCAGTCATGGGATAAGAGGGGAGGTCCTCTCATGGATCGGTAACTGGTTAAGAGACAGGAAACAAAGGATAGGAATACATGGTCAGTTTCCAGAATGGAAAGGTCAATCGTGGAGTCTTCCAAGGATCTATACTGGAATCTCTGCTGGTCAACATATTCAGAGATGAAATGGAAAGGGCGGTAAACAGTGAGGTGGTGCAGATGATACAAAGTTACTCAAGACAGTTAAGTCCAAAGCTGACTGCAAAGATTTACCGAGGGATGTCACAAAACGGGTGACGGGGCAACAAAATGGCAGATGAAATTCAATGTTGATAAATGCAATGTAATCCACATTGGAGAACATGATGCCAACTATACCTATAAAACGATAGGGTCTAAATTAGCTGTTACCACTCAAGAGAGAGATCTTGAAATCGCTGTGGATAGTTCTCTGAAAACATCCACTCAATGTGCAGCAGCAGTGAAAAAAAGGGAACAGAATGTTGGGAACCATTAGGAAAGGGATAGATAATAAGACAGAAAATATCATAATGCCACTATATAACTCCATGGTACACCCACACCTTGAATACTGCGTGCATTTCTGGTTGCCCCAGCTCAAAAAAAGATATGGGAATTGGAAAAAACTGCAGAGAAGGGCAACAAAAATGATCAGGGGTATGAAACAGCTTCCGTATGAGGAGAAATTAAAAAGACAGAGTGTTCATCTTAGAAAAGAGATGACTAAGGGGGAATGTGAAAAGGGTCTCTAAAATCATTAATGGTGTGGAGAAAGTGAATAAGGAAGTGTTATTTACCCCTTCACATAACACAAGAACAAGGGGTCACCCAATGAAATTCATAGGCAGCAGGTTTAAAACAAATATAAGGAAGTTCTTCACACAATGCAGTCAACCTGTGGAACTCATTGCCAGGGGATGTTTGGAAGGCCAAAAATATAACAGGGGTCAAAAATTAATCAGATAAGTTCTTGGAGAATAGGTTCATCAATGGCTATTAACCAAGATGGTCAAGGATGCAACCCCATGATCTGGGTGTCCTAAACCTCTGACTGCCAGAAACTGGGGCTGGACAACAGAGGATCGATCACTTGATAATTGCCCCGTTCTGCTCATTCCCTGTGAAGCACCTGGCATTGGCCAGTGTCGCAAGGCAGGATACTGGACTAGAAGATGGACCATTGGTCTGACCCAGTATGGCCGTTCTTATGGTTTTAAACCAGAATGGAATACAATATAAGTTACAATATAAAAATAAAAGGAGTACTTGTGGCATCTTAGAGACTAACCAATTTATTTGAGCATGAGCTTTCGTGAGCTTCAGCTCACTTCATCGGATGCATACCGTGGAAACTGCAGAAGGCATTATATACACACAGAGACCATGAAACAATACCTCCTCTGAGCTACAGCTCACTTCATCGGATGCATACCGTGGAAACTGCAGAAGACATTATATACACACAGAGACCATGAAACAATACCTCCTCCCACCCCACTGTCCTGCTGGTAATAGCTTATCTAAAGTGATCATCAAGTTGGGCCATTTCCAACACAAATCCAGGTTTTCTCACCCTCCGCCCCCCCACACACAAACTCACTCTCCTGCTGGTAATAGCCCATCCAAAGTGACCACTCTCTTCACAATGTGTATGATAATCAAGGTGGGCCATTTCCTGCACAAATCCAGGTTCTCTCACCCTCTCACCTCCCTCCAAAAACCACACACACAAACTCACTCTCCTGCTGGTAATAGCTTATCCAAAGTGACCACCACCATCCTGGCCACTATGGATGTAGAAGCCCTGTACACCAACATTCCACACAAAGATGGACTACAAGCCGTCAAGAACACTATCCCCGATAATGTCACGGCTAACCTGGTGGCTGAACTTTGTGACTTTGTCCTTACCCATAACTATTTTACATTTGGGGACAATGTATACCTTCAGATCAGCGGCACTGCTATGGGTACCCGCATGGCCCCACAGTATGCCAACATTTTTATGGCTGATTTAGAACAACGCTTCCTCAGCTCTCGTCCCCTAAAACCCCTACTCTACTTGCGCTATATTGATGACATCTTCATCATCTGGACCCATGGAAAAGAAGCCCTTGAGGAATTCCACCATGATTTCAACAATTTCCATCCCACCATCAACCTTAGCCTGGTCCAGTCCACACAAGAGATCCACTTCCTGGACACTACAGTGCTAATAAACAATGGTCACATAAACACCACCCTATACCGGAAACCTACTGACTGCTATTCCTACCTACATGCCTCCAGCTTTCATCCAGACCACACCACACGATCCATCGTCTACAGCCAAGCTCTGCGATACAACCGCATTTGCTCCAACCCCCCAGACAGAGACAAACACCTACAAGATCTCTGTCAAGCTTTCTTACAACTACAATACCCACCTGCGGAAGTGAAGAAACAGATTGATAGAGCCAGAAGAGTTCCCAGAAGTCACCTACTACAGGACAGGCCTAACAAAGAAAATAACAGAACGCCACTAGCCGTCACCTTCAGCCCCCAACTAAAACTCCTCCAACGCATTATTAAGGATCTACAACCTATCCTGAAGGATGACCCAACACTCTCACAAATCTTGGGAGACGGGCCAGTCCTTGCCTACAGACAGCCCCGCAACCTGAAGCAAATACTCACCAACAACCACATACCACACAACAGAACCACTAACCCAGGAACCTATCCTTGCAACAAAGCCTGTTGCCAACTGTGCCCACATATCTATTCAGGGGACACCATCACAGGGCCTAATAACATCAGCCACACTATCAGAGGCTCGTTCACCTGCACATCCACCAATGTGATACATGCCATCATGTACCAGCAATGCCCCTCTGCCATGTACATTGGTCAAACTGGACAGTCTCTACGTAAAAGAATAAATGGACACAAATCAGATGTCAAGAATTATAACATTCATAAACCAGTCGGAGAACACTTCAATCTCTCTGGTCACGCAATTACAGACATGAAGGTCGCTATCTTACAACAAAAAAACTTCAAATCCAGACTCCAGCGAGAAACTGCTGAATTGGAATTCATTTGCAAATTGGATACTATTAATTTAGGCTTAAATAGAGACTGGGAGTGGCTAAGTCATTATGCAAGGTAGCCTATTTCCCCCTGTTTTTTCCTACCACCACCCCCCCCCCAGACGTTCTGGTTAAACTTGGATTTAAACTTGGAGAGTGGTCAGTTTGGATGAGCTATTGCCAGCAGGAGAGTGAGTTTGTGTGTGTGTGTGTGTGTGTGTTTCCGGGGGAGGAGGGAGTGAGAAAGCCTGGATTTGTGCTGGAAATGGCCCACCTTGATTATCATGCACATTGTAGGGAGAGTGGTCACTTTGGATAAGCTATTACCAGCAGGAGAGTGAGATTGTGTGAGTGGTTTTTGGAGGGGGGTGAGGGAGTGAGAGAACCTGGATTTGTGCAGGAAATGGCCCACCTTGATTATGACACACATTGTGAAGAGAGTGGTCACTTTGAATGGGCTATTACCAGCAGGAGAGTGAGTTTGTGTGTGTGGGGGGGGGGGCAGAGGGTGAGAAAACCTGGATTTGTGCTGGAAATGGCCCAACTTGATGATCACTTTAGATAAGCTATTACCAGCAGGACAGTGGGGTGGGAGGAGGTATTGTTTCATGGTCTCTGTGTGTATATAATGTCTTCTGCAGTTTCCACGGTATGCATCCGATGAAGTGAGCTGTAGCTCACGAAAGCTCATGCTCACATAAATTGGTTAGTCTCTAAGGTGCCACAAGTACTCCTTTTCTTTTTGCGAAGACAGACTAACACGGCTGTTACTCTGAGACTTGTCAATATAAAAATACACCCTTCTCAATCCATCCCCTCCTCAGCAGACTAAACAAAGTACAGGGGGTGGAGGGAAGATGAGCTTTGAAGCATGCTCAGGAAGTTAACAAATCCAAGCTCTGGCAGACCAGTGAGGGAGCAAGTTCCAAAATTATGGAACCCTCCTAGAGAATGCCTTGTCAGCAGCTCCTTCTTGTTTGTACTGAAGGCGCCTCTGTGGATCTCATCCATGGTGGCTTATGACAGATCGAGAGGTGATCTCTTAAGGTACCAGGTCCAAAACCAGTTAGGGCTTTATAGTTTAAAACCAACACCTTGAATTCTACCTGGAAGCTTACTGAAAGCCAGTGCAGATTACAGAACACTGATCTAAAGTGCTCCCGATGTGTAACTCCCCTTAATAAGCAGGCTATGGCATTATGCACTAGCTGCTGCTTCCTGGTCCCAAGGTATAACCCCATGTGGAGCACCTTACAGCAGTTTAATTATGAGGTGGTCAAGGAATGGATAATTGTGAGAGGATTCCCACGGGAGAGAGAAGGTTGTACGTCATTTTGCCAGGCAGAGATGGAAGAGAGCACTCTTGGCTACAGCCACTGCCTGGGCATGTAGGAGCTGCCCACGGCCTAATACCCCGCCCCCGTATACACACATATGAAGTGCACACCTGTTTCACAAATGGTGGTTGCACTCCCCCAGTGAGGGGTGTTCATATAAATTCTGCCAGCTCCTCAGCGGCTTCCACGACCCACCAACATGGTCTCAGTCTTGATGGAATTGCATCCAGTTAGCTCTCATCCAAGCTGCACTTTCATCTAGGCACAAGATTATTCATCCCCCTGCTCCGGCCAGGTGAGACATGTCATCAGCATACTGACTGTACTGCAGCCTCTGTCTCCTCACTAACCTTCCTAGTGGCCTCATAGCCAGGTTGCGCCAGAGAGGGAATAATATCAACCGCTGCAGCACACCTGCCATCAGGGCAGAGGGACAGCTGCTCACAACTGCCCTTTGAGTTCTCTGAAAGAGGAGAGCCACTCAAGAGTAGTCCCAGGCACTGCTGCTCATTGATCCGCCGAAGCCTATTCTGTTTTCTGTTTATTCCTTCCCTGGGGTGAAATGTTGGCCCACAGGAGTCAATGGCAAAGTTTCCATTATCTGAAGGCCATAGTGACAGTCCAATAGACAAGTCTCTGTCTGGCCATTGTCATTGATTGCATCTGCTCTGGCTATTTAATTCTGTGCTTTAATTTTGCCTTGGAAGCCTATGAAATTGTCACAGTGACAAGTGACACAGAGGATGCAGAAACCAAGGAAAACATCTGGATCATCTTAGAAGGAAAGAAGGGACGCTCAAAAGAATTCCTTCTGGAAAACGCCTCCAAAAAAAGGAAATTCACAAGGTAGGTGAGATAGGCCTTGATGGGTGAACAGGAAGGGAATGTCACCAGCTGTGTCTCTCTTACAAAGGCCCCTCCTCCTTCCCTCTGGAGGATTCATGGAGAGGCATTAGGAGTGTCAGACCATTTCTTACTTTCCTTTCCGAAAGATACAATGGGCAGTAAAGTGGAAGAAAGTAGTAACATTTGTCTCAGGAGTCCAAGTTTAAGAATGAGCAGAAATGTCCATCTGGGGATTGGACTCGTACATGTATGTATGCACATGTCCTTCAAAACTTAAACAAGGGTCCTGATACTTCAGGGGTTTGCCAGATGAGCCTAAAGGGAACCCCAACAGGCTCAGCTGGGAGGAGCTGTGGAAGAACTCATCTGAGAGAGAGGTGTTTTTAACATCTCTGACAGAAGGTTGCTGTGGTGGAAGAGAGTAAAAATAATTCCAGGCTAAATGTTGTCAGTGCTGTTTAGATCTGACCTGACATTCCAAATCTTTGGTTTAGGAACAGAGGTGAAAGTAAGCCGGTTCGCTCCGGCAGCTGCTACCACAGCGGAGCCCCAGGCCCTTTAAAGCTCTGCCAGAGCCCAAAGCCCCGGGGTAGCGGTGGCAGCCGGGAGCCCCCAGGGCTCCTCAGTGATTTAAAGGGCCCGGGGCTCCAGCCGCTGCTACCACCCTGGCCCTTTAAATACCCGCCGGAGCCCCACCGCCTCTACCCCAGGGCTTTGGCAGCAGGGCTCCAGCGGGGATTTAAAGGGCTGGGGCAGTAGGGGTGGTTGGAGCTCTGGGACTCTTTAAATCCCCGCCAGAGACCCCACCCCCACCCCTACCCCAGGGCTCGGGCAGCAGGGCTCAGGTGGGGATTTAAAGGGCCCCGGAGCTCCAGCCCCCGCTACCCTCCCGGGTCCCTTTAAATCCCTGCTTAAGCCCTGCTGCCGAAGCCCTGGGACGGGGGGGTGGGGGGGGATGGCCCCTCTGGAAATTTAAAGGGCTGGGGCGGTAGCGGCGGCTGGAGCCCCAATCCCTTTAAATCCCCACCTGAGCCCTGCTGCCCGAGCCCTGAGGTAGGGATGGGGTGGGGGCTCTGGCGGGGATTTAAAGAGCCCCAGAGCTCCAGCCACCCCTACTGCCCCGGCCCTTTAAATCCCTGCCGGAGCCCTACTGCCAAAGCCCTGGGGTAGCGGCGGTGGGCTCCGGCGGGCATTTAAAGGGCCGGGATGGTAGTGGCGGCTGGAGCCCTGGGGCCCTTTAAATCCCCGATGGAGCCCGGCCACCGCTACCCTAGGGCTCGGGCAGCAGGGCTCAGGCAGGGATTTAAAGGGCTCAGGGCTCCAGTAGCTGCTACCACAGCGGAGCCCCAGGACCTTTAAAGCTCTGCCAGAGCCCAGAGCCCCGGGGTAGCGGTGGCAGACGGGAGCCCCCAGGGCTCCTCAGTGATTTAAAGGGCCTGGGGCTCCGCTCCGGTAGTGGCAGCTGGAGCCCTGGGCCCTTTAAATCACCCCCAAGCCCCGGGGCTCCCAGCCGCCTCTGCAGCTGGTAGCTCGGGGGTGATTTAAAGGGCCCTGGGCTCCCAGCCGCCACTGATTTAATTGGGGATCGGTCCTGCTTTGAGCAGGGGTTGGACTAGATGACCTCCTAAGGTCCCTTCCAACCCTGATTCTATGATACTGCAGCTGGAGCCCTGGCCCTTTAAATCAAGATTTAAAGGGCCCGGGGATTTAAGGCCCTGCCTCTTCCGGTTGAGGCCACACCCCCTGCTCAGGACTCCGGCGTACCAGTAAGTCCTCTAACTTACTTTTACCCCTGTTTAGGAATGAGAGATCTCTGCTTTAGGTCCTGGATGCGAGAAAAGCAGAGAGAGAAATGATGAAAGAAAGCTTTATACCGCAGATATGAATGGGCACTATTATGTGTAGTGTATAGACTGGCTGGGGGCACCTTCATGTAGAGGAAATGAATGAGAGTCCCTCTTCCACATTTGAAATCTACACCTGAACACACTCAGAACTGGTCAAACCCCTCTAGTTTTTAGTGTGCATGAGATAGGTTTTGTGTTGTTTTTCTTTATGGATACTGTACACAGTATGCTGCCCGTAGACCACAAAGAATATGAGAGTAGCCAGTTTGTTGTGGAAGGAGGGAGTGTTTCTCTGTCAGGAACTCAAGAGAGTTCCTTCCAAGGCAGGCAAACTTTTAAGTAAATTGGACTCTAATATTAATGGCATCAATGTGTATATAGCTATTTTAAACATCAGTGACCCAACAGCAAACAGCCATGATACGAGGAAACCTCCATCTGTTAAACAGTGCCGTGCTCCTGGTATGAAGCGGTTTGGCACAGTTTGGGGAAGGATAGGATAGGACTGCAATAAAAAGAAACAACTATCTTAATTCACGGAATAAGCAGATTGTCTATGGTGGTCAGGAAGGAACCTCCTCTATTTACAAAGTTGGCCAGGGGTATAATGGGGCTAGGATTCCTTCCTCTGAAGTATCAAACATTGTTTACTGTTGGAGGCCGACAACTGGATGAACTACTAGTTAAGGCTACGTTTTAGTCAGGGGTATATAGTACAAGTCATGGACAGATCACGGTCAGTAAACAAAAAATCATGGCCCGTGACCTGTCCATGACTTGTACCATACACCCCTGACTAAATCTTGGGTGCTGGGGTGGCGCATGGCGTGTAGCCTGGGAATCTGCAGCTGCTGGGGAGAGGGACTGGTGGCACACAGCCCAGGACCCCCTACTGCTGCTGCTGGGGATGGGGTGGCCCGAGACTGCCCCAGCAGCGGCCGGTGTAGCTGGCCCAGGGGCTGCCCGAGCTGCTCAGGCACCCGCGGCTGCAGAAGTCATGGAGGTCCTGGAAAGTTATGGAATCCATGGCTTCCAAAAACCTCCATGACAAACTCCAATCCAGGGGTTCTCAACCTGTTTATAATAGCGGGCTGCATATGCGGCCCACAATGTATTACACAGACCACAGGTTGAGAACCACAGTGCCCTCTCTCCCCCCCCGCAAAACCCCACACAGTCGCCCATGTCCAGCACCCCCCCTACCCAGAGACGCCTCCACAGAGTGGGACCAGGCATGGAGCTCTGGGCACAGAACTGGACAGCTGGGACCCGGATCTGCCATGTTGGTCCAGGCAGCCAGACTGGGGATCCTGCAGCTTGGGGCTGGAACCCACCAGCCCGACCCACCACGCAGGGCCAGGCAGCCGGCAGCCAGACCCAAGTCACCGGGCCGGGAGCAGAGCCCCACCTAAAACCTGGGAGTGCAGCAGCACCCCTGCAAACTCCTAGTTTCCAGTGCCCAACCCCCTCACTGCCCAGAGCCCGCCCCCCCCAAACCTGCCCAGAGACCCACTCTCCTGACCCCTGTTCCCCCTGCAGCACTCACCAGCCCCCTGCTGGTAGGAACACTCCTGCAGGCTGCCTTACGCCCTCTCCCCCTCAGCCAGCTCCGCCCTCTGCCAGACTAGAGCAAATTTTGAATTTTTGTTAGCACACAGCTGGGCCGCAGCTGTGTGCTAATTGGGCCAGGGGTTGAGAACCACTCGTCTAATCCAATAAGTCAGCTACTAAAGATACACAGGATACACAACAGAAGACTTGGCCAAAGGTTTGACAGAGATACATTTTTCTTAAAAGTCCATCTTAAGAACAGCTTAAAAGCAGGAGGGGTAGTTTGATTAGTGGTTTTAAAAGCAGCTATGATTAGTAGATGTACAACAGATACAATATCTGTCAAGAAAAAGAATGAATGCTTTAGGGGAAAATAAATCATTCTTTAGCTTTCCCTATACCAAGGCAAATTGATTTTGGATGTGAATTAGCTCAAACATACCCTGGAAGGTCCTAGTGGTAGTAATTTAAAGTGTCACCCTAACCAGGAAAAATACTGAATTTATATACAGAAATTATACTTTGTGTTAAATAATTATGGGTTAAATCAAATGACTTTAAATGAAGGTTTGTTTTATATCTTTCATAGCCACGCGCAAATTACTTAATGCTAACATGACACAAGTCATTGCCAGTCTCCAGGATGTTAATTGAAACTCTTCTATGTTTACTGCAGAGGAGCAACAGACAAATTTCTGTTTTCTTCAAAAAATGTTGGTGATATTGCAGCCATTTGTGTTGGTCACTGTCCAAAAGATGGAAGGAAGTCAACCACAAAAGCTGATGTGTACTGGTATGTCCGAGAGATAATCATAACAGAGATGGAACTTTGCAACAAGTAAGTTGTTTCCATCAAAACAGACATGCAGTATGCAATAAAGAACTCCAGGAACTAAAGGCAGAATGGCCTGGGAGATTTAAATAGTATTGTAACCATATTTCTGAGGTTCTTCATAGTTAACCTTTCCTAGCCATACATGTTGAGCTTTAAAAATTCTTAGCATGTTTTAAAAACTAAGGGCAAGATATTTAAAACATTTAGGAGCTGCCGCAGACAAGTCTAATTTGCATGCATGGTTTCCATGTTTCTGGTGCAAAGTATTTGCATGTGCAGATGGATGCACAATCATAAAAATAATCAGCATGTATTTTGCAAAAAAAAAACCCAAACCCAAAACCCTGCACTCCTAAACTTGTCGAAAATCTAGACCTAGTGATTTAGATTCTGTGGGCCACTTTTCAAAGATTGGCCTCTAAACTGCTTCTGTGAAAAGGACATTCAGGCATGTCAGTATTCAACATGGGAGAAACCTCAGATTTGACTCCCTTTGCATTGTGGGATGGTTCCAGTAGGAATCCTTGGATCCAAAAGCACCTCAGGCGTCATCTACAAAAGTATAACAAGGGAGACACACCTCTTCAGTGCCTCCTGCTGCTGTATGCAGTACGGATAGACTTGCTTGGCAGGTCTTCTGTGGCTTGGCTCTCCAGCCAAGTCACTAAATCCAGATGAACACCTTCTGGGGTATATACCATCTGATAGATAAACAGTCTGTCTGCCCTTAGTAGGTGCCTTCCACCCTTTCTTTGGGCTCCTAACTCAGTCCTGCCCACTTTGTGGGGCTTACACCACTGTACTTCTAGCCAGTAGCAGAACACAGGCCCGCCCAATACTCCAGGTTCCAACCCAGTGACCCTATGAACCGCCACAACATATTGCTCAATTTCAATTAGCTGCCACTTCTTTCCTTGGCCTTTTCCTACCTGTCCCCTTTTAGCTTCACCCTTATCTCAGGATTAAGGTGTTATGTCCTCACTCCCTACAAACCCAGCTAAGCAAATACAGCCAGTAACAGACTCTGGCTATCCTGTAAGCTCCTAAGGCCAGAGAGAAGCACCCCACCTTGCCCCCTCTAGTCCCAGCCAGGGACTGACCTGTTTGCGTCCTGCAGTGCCTTTTATCTGAGTCTGCTGGGCTCTGATTGGCTGCTTCCATGCAGCCTCGCTAGGCATATCAAGGATCCTCCCTCGCTGCTCCTTTCCTAGGGCAGGGTTATGGGGCCTCCAGGAGGGGGCCACAAAGGCCTAGTATGCCCTGTCACAAAAACCAAAAGATATTTTTATTCTCTGGTTTGGAGATGGTGGAAATTTTCAAGAGACTTCAAATCATCTTGGTAATCTCATGTGATCGGCTAACCTCTCAGCACTTCAACTCCCTGGCCCCTGTCAGCCTGAGCCCTTCATGTTCATGCAGCATTAACGAGCTGCTAGCATGGAGAATAGGCAGGAAAAGGAAAAGAATGGTCATCCGAAGAGCAAATACCTAATAGCTGTCAATCTTGGGCCAAAATAGCTAAGCAAGCACATCCAAACTATTAATGGATTCCTTTTCTTCTCTGCGATATTTCCACTACCGTTAAAGTACTTAACTTTAAGGGTTTCATTCCTGCTGAGACAGTTTAGTGTTTAAAAAGAAATCCTTGACGTGAGATTTTGATGTTAAGTGTCTCTTCCAGCAAATTAATCAACGGCTAAATCAAATCAGCCTGTAGAAGGGCCATGTTAATATTTGCAGAATGAAAACTCAGTCAGTCATATTCTTGTCTCGCAATCAAGGGAAACCTTCAGCTCTTCACGCCCGACCCTGCAATCACAGCCACATGCTCGAGGCTATTGTGCATCGGAAGAGCCTCACTGAAACCAGTGTGGCCCCACAGGGGGGCAGAGGTCTTTTTAAGGCACAATTCTAGTCTTTTATTTAAAATGACATAGTAGAGCAACAAGATTCTGCAGTAAGTTGCAGCCTGTCACAGCCCATTCTGCCCAGAACCCTGCCTTCTTGCATGTTCTCCATAACCACAGCCCTATCTAGCCACAGCTGCTCCACATTGCTGGATCAAGCCTTCAGCATTGCCTATCCCACAGGTTCAAAAATGATGAGTGGAGGACCCCCGTTTCCCCTCCACCCTCCCCAAAAAAGAACCCAGACAAATTTAAAAGATTGACTTAACAGTCATGATTTTATTTTAAATACTACATTTCGGTTCTTTTCCTTTGCCTTTTGGTTTTAGAGACATTGGCATACAATTGGGTCATGTTTTCAAGCTTTTCTCTGCAACTTTGAGGGGTAGAAATTTACAAGAAAGAAAGAAAGTTGAGATTCTCACCTAATGAGACAATTCCCCAAGCCGAGGTTTCAAGGAAAACTCAGAATATCACAAAATTCACAATAAAAATCCCAAGAGCTGGCTACTCTGCAGTTGTGAGAGAGTTAAAAAAGCTCTCACTGGGAAGTACGTTCCCACCCCTGAATAAGGACTTCAGGATTTATTCTCATCAGACCCTCTCAGGTACAAAACTCCTTTCCAAACATGGGCAGATATTTCTGTGGTTTCAGATGCATTAGAAATGTTGTAAGACGTTAAGAAATATGGTAACACTATGGTGCTGAAGCAGCCCTTTCTTCAGGTCTTAATTTTACTGGTGCATAATACAATCCAGCTGAATTCCTTGAGGGAGTGCCTACTGCCGTTTGGACAGGAGAGGGAGGAAACTCAGGTGGAAATGACTTGCATCATTGCAAATAAAATACCTCATTAAAAGCCCAGTGTCCAAACCTCTGGCTGATTACCAGACACACAGTGATTTATGAGTATGTTATGTGCTTCCTCTACATCGCCAGGGGCATTCCAGGGGAGTAAAGGGTTTTCAGCATCTGGTACATATTTCAGTGCTTGCTGCTTCCTTTGTCTGCTCAGGATGAGCTAAGAGTTATAAACGAGGAGAGAGGGGACACATATATTTCCTGCCCCAGACTTTAATATTCCCTCTTTTCCTGTTCTCCCTCACCTCTGGCCCCTTCCTTGTCATTCCATTGATGGTGGTAATTGTTGACCTTTACCTTGATTTGTGAGAGCATAGATGATGCACCTAACTTTGAAAACTTGCCCCTACGTTTGTTTGTTTGTTTTAAATCCAAAAGCCTGCTTGCCCTGCTGGGCTCTCCGATAGTAGCCATTTATGATATTATTTTTATAGCTCTGTAAGTGTACATGACACTTGACAGGCAAATAAGATGACAAGGGCACCACATTCAATTCTGGCATAAGTTGAGTGACTTCAGTTATCTAGGGACATGTTGGATTCGCCATCACTCAAAGTCTTTACAGCAAGACTGGATGCCCTTTTAAAAGCAATGCTCCAGCTCAAATAAAAGTTATGGGCTTGATGCAGGATTTACTGTGTGAGGTTCTGTAGCCTCTGTGATGCAGGAAGCCAAACATGATGATCATAATAATCCCTTCTGGCCTGAAAATCTATGAAAGTGGGACTTGAAAGTGACTTCAACAGACACTGCACCTGCTGGCACTGGAGCAGAATTTGGCTCAAGGACCCCTGCCTGAAAGATATTTTTAAGCTGGTCTAGGCATAGGGAGCAGCATGGTCTGTTGTTTTTGATCTTCAGCCCTAAAGCCTAACTAAATGTGCTAGCATAACACGCCTGTCATTACACAACTCCCCCACTAATCTTCCCCTCGGCTCTGCAGTGGTACCTGGCCTAGCAGAGGGCAGCACTAAACCTGCAACATGGCGGCCTCAAAACAGGTTTTCAACCGGTGATCCGAGGAGGGGCTGTTCAGCCAGAAAGCCCCTTCCCCTTGCCACGTTGCATGTACAAGATGGCAAATCTCAAGGTGCAGTTTAGGAAGAGTGAAGTCATTTAAACTAGCTGCTTGAAAGCATGGGATTTGAACACTCGTTCCTCCAGGGTTGCCGCTCACACCTACAGCTACAACAGCCTTCAGAATAAGTCCATGATATCCATCAAACGTGGGTGGTAGGCAAAGCTTCCTCTTGGGGAGGCTAGCCCCCTGCCCACTTCTTCCAGCTGAGGACCCGCCTCCTCTGGCCAAAGCCCCGCCCCCACTCTCTGCTGTCAGCCAACTCCCATTGGCCCTGGCTGAAGCACCGAGCCTGGAGCCCCTCCCCTGTTCTGCCCCTTCCGCCCGTGACCCCGCCCATGGCTCCACCCTCTCCCACCCACCCCCCATTCACTCCTCCCCCATCCCTGAGACTGGAAAAGCTCTGTGCCTCACGCCTCAGCTCCAGAGTCGCAGCGGGGAGCTCCTCCAGCCCTGGGGCCGTGGTGGGAGGAGACTTTTCGGGGGGGGGGTCCCAAATCCACCACTGCCCCTCTCCCTTGGTGGCTGGAGGGTTGGGGGGAAGGCTCAGCCTCCATTATGCACCACCTACGCCAAAAAATCCAGTAAAAGCACAAGTAAAAGGAGCTGCCTCCACTGTGATTAGGCCAGGGCTGTCTGAGGGCAAGAGGGCAGTGGAAATTGTTACGGTTTGGGGAAAATCAGCTGCCACGGGACTTTTGAACTTCAGAAAAAGTTTAAGGGTTCATACACATACTGTGTAACTCAAGCCAGCTGTTTCAGCTCGGCGTGTTCAAAGGTGAGTGTATTACCCTGGGTAATGCTGAAATGTAGAAGAACTGGAAGGTTGAAGGGCTGAGTTGACTTTCTCTGACTGGAATTTGTATTTCCAGGGAGGCTGCATATTTCAAACTTGCAAAATAATTGGCTATGTCCTTTAGAGAGTTTCCTGTAGCACACCGAGCAGTGCTGTTTTTTTAAAATCCTAGAATCTTCAGTTCAAGTCCCAAGCAAGGATATGTCCCTCTCATTCTAAATACAAGGTTGAAACATTAGTAGTAGGTGAATTTCTAAATCACCTGTCCCCATTATACCTGGGCATTCATAATGCAAAGCAAAAGGCCATATTATTAACACACTGTTAACTTTCCTTTGGCAGATATTTTTTCAAGTGCAATGCAAAAATTCCACTGAGGAACAAGAGGGGTGACTACAAAGTCTTTGAGTGTGTCAAGGTCATAGAAAGTTTTGCCAGCAAAGCCCGGAGCTTGGTGCCAGTCAAATATGAGGTCATTGTGGTTACAGGGTCTGAAAAAGGAGCTGGGACCGATGCCAATGTCTTTATCACCATCTTTGGAATAAATGGAGATTCGGGCAAGCGTGCTCTCAAGCAGAAGTTCCGGAACCTCTTTGAACGGGGCAAAACCAATAGATTTTTCCTGGAAACCCTGGAGTTGGGGGAGTTGAAAAAAGTCCGGATTGAACATAACAACAGTGGCATAGCAACCGGCTGGTTAGTGGAGAGGGTGGAGATCACCAATTCAGCTACTGGAGTGACCACGATTTTCCCTTGTGGGAAGTGGCTGGACCGGAATAGAGGAGATGGTTTGACCTGGAGGGAATTATTTCCAAGATATTAACAGGGATTCATCTGCAGCCTTTAAAAGGAGCTGCTATGAAGATATTTATATTCACTGCAGAGGGGTTTTTCTTACTCACTTCTTACACCGTTTTGTATCATGTTTTTCTTTTTAAAATATTGTATTTTATATTGAAACGATTTTAGTAGGAATATATACTCCCTGGATTAACATTTTATAAAAAGAATCATACTTTTTAAATGTGTATATAAAAATGTGAATGGCAAAATTTTTCTGGTCCACTGATTATCCATATCAAATCCACTTCATTTACGGCTCAAAGGGTGTGGTTTTATGTGCCCAACTACCAAGGCTGGAAACGCCAACAGAGAACGGATGATCAGGCCGGCTCCTCTTTTAAACTACAAGAGGCTGCAATAACAATTAAGCTGACATAGTCAAGGGGGTTGGTTATACAGTCCCAGTTTTGACCTACATCTAGTAAACGTCTCTATATTCGAGTGTGTATATTTGTTTTTGTGTACACGTGCAATGAAGAGTTGAAAGCAACAACCCAGATAAGATTTTCTGAACAAGAGTTTCAGCAAGAAAGTGAATCATCTAGGCCAGGTCTCTGCTGGTGTGAATTGGCCTAGCTCCTTTGATTTCAATGGACCGACCCCAGTTTACCGCGGCTGAGGATCGGCCCCAGTGCACAGGTGTTAAGCAGCTCCAAGATCATAGCTATGAACTGAACAACATAATGATTTTGTGCTATTCAGCTGAATACATTAACAAAACACTTAACAATAATCAATTCTGCTTTAGGGAAGCAGCAAAGAGCACATGTTCAAAGCTATCTCAGCATCGTTCTGCACTGTGTGGCATGCATAGCAATCACTTGTAAAGGCAGCTGCCATTGATTTTATGGGGGGGTTTTAAGTATTGCAATTTCGACTTTTCAAAAAAGGATAGTTTCATGGGCAGAGTCAAAACTGAGACACCAGCACATGAGTTTCCCAATCCCTAATACCCTTTAATTCACCTATTTGGCTGGATTATATTAGATTTCCTAGCAAATAATTCTGTACTTAAAACAAAAAGAACATTTCTAAAAAAAATCTTTGGGACCCCATCGACCAACCTAGGAGAGTGCATACTATCTCCATTGAACTCCATGGCAAAACTCTCCTTGACGTCATTGAGGCCAGGATTCCACCCCCGGGGTATGTCCTGGTCTCCTGGTTCTACCATTGTTTGGGGCAAGTGGGGGAAGAACAGTTTGCCCAGCTGAGGAAGGGGAGAATCAGACTCCAAAAACCTGCAGATCTTGAGCAGGTGCCATACAGTCTGCTCTGCTCCATACACTGCTTCCTGGCCACCCTCCGTCCCAATAGTTGTGTTCCCATAGGCATCTCTGCCAGCAGGTGCCTCTTCATTCCCCACTCAGGACAGGGGTTCCCAATCTGAGCAGGGGCTAACTGCACACATTAATCCTGACTTGGCCATCAGTGAGTTACACAAGCTGCCAACCCCTTGTGGAGTCAGAAACCTGCAGAGCACCAAAGTGGGGTTTTCAGTGGGGAAGGGGAGGGGATCTTACAGATGCAGCAATCCCTAGCATCCCAGCCAGGATCACAAGGGCTTCAGCACTTCCCCACCAATCTGCTAGCTAGGCAAAGCTACCCCTATGAAACATCTTCCTACCCTTTCCAGCCAAAGATTGGCTGTAGTCTCAGTTGTTTCTTTACCAAGGAGTCTGCTCTCAGATCCACCCTACAGCCTTGTAGTCCCATACTCTGCTCTACCTACCTGCAGGGCCCTGGGGGTTTAAAGGGCGATTAGCTGTAAATCCAGGGGTTAACGAGTGAATCTCATTTTGGGACAGGGAGCCATGTGGATTTGCATTGAATTGCTGATGGTTGGTGCTGTTAATCACAGCCAAGGTCCAACAGCTCTTCAGATTCAATGAGCTAGGTCATTTTCCCAGCTCCCCCCTCCCCCATTTCTCTTTTGTTTACCACACCAGGGGCAGGATACATGATCCTGAGCAGCCTCATTACACGGCTTGTATCGCTGTAGATAGTTTAGGTACAATCTGAGAACCTCACAACAGCCCTGGGAGGTCTGGAAATACTGTTTCCCCATTTTACAAACGGGGAACTGAGGCGCAGAGAAGCTAAGGCCCAGCTCCACAAATATATTTAGGCTCTTAAGTGACTTTCCCAAACAGGGAATCCATGATCAAGCAGGGACCTGACACCATGTCTCCTACAGCCGAGGCCAGTCCCTTAAGCACTGGCCCATCCTTCCTCTCGTATGCAGTAGCTGTAGTAAAGTCGGTACCACATGGGCCAGCTTATCTGAGCCTACTAAATGGTATGTTTTGGTATCGGTGAGGCATTTTTCTTCTACTATTCGGGAATCCATGCTAAGGAGTGGCACCATACCTTTGCAAGCTACTCTCCCCTGGGCAAATTTCACACTACAGGGGTCCTACATCATGATCTTCTTCTGTAGACGCCAGCCAATGTACCTCATAGGGCTTGTCTACACTACCGTGTGGGGTCGATGTAAGATACGCAACTTCAGCTATGTGATTAGCGTAGCTGAAGTTGATGTACTTAGATCTACTTACCACGGTGTCTTCACTGCGGTGAGTCGACAGCTGACAATCTCCTGTCGACTCTGCTTGTGCCCCTTGTTCTGGTGGAGTACCAGAATTGAGGAGAGCGTGCTCAGCGGTCGATCAATCGCGTCTAGTATAGACACGATAAATCGACACCCACCCCGCTGGATCTATCGCTGCTCGCCGATCCAGCTGGTAGTGTGGACAAGCCCTTAGAGTGCATTCAGCTATGTGTCGTCAGTTAACAGATAATCATAGAATCATAGACTTTACGATCAGAAGGGCCCATTATGATCATCTAGTCTGACCTCCTACACAGCACAGGCCAAAGAATCTCACCCACCCACTCCTGTAACAAACCTCTAACCTATGTCTGAACTATTGAAGTCCTCAAATCGTGGTTTAAAGACTTTGAGGTGCAGAGAATCCTCCAGCAAGTGACCCCATTCCCTATGCTGCAGAGGAAGACCCCCCCCAGGGCCTCTGCCAATCTGCCCCGGAGGAAAATTCCTTCCTGACCCCAAATATGGCAATCAGCTAAACCCTGAGCATGACTTACCAGCCAGACACCCAGGAAAGAATTCTCTGTAGTGACTCAGATCCCACCCCATTTAACATCCCATCACAGGCCGTTGGGCATAGCTACTGCTAATAGTTGAAGATCAATTAATTGCCAAAATTAGGCTAGTCCCTCATATCATCCCTTCCATAAGCTTAGTCTTGAAGCCAGCTATGTCTTTTGCCCCCACTGCTTCCCTTGAAGGCTTCCCTTCTCTTGGAAGGCTGTTCCAGAACTTCACTCCTCTGATGGTTAGGGTTAAATGGCTTAAATCAATTCATTTTCCAAACCTTTCTGGTAAATGGTGATTTTTTGGAGAACAGTGAGTTACTGAAATCTACCTAATAATCAACTGCATAAGTGATCAAGTACTCACTGATGTGAATAATAACAGTGATTGACTCTCAGACTCTGTCTATAACTGTCGTTATTCCCTCCAGCTACAGGCCTGAGGCTACAAAGTGCTGAGTATTCAAATCGATGGGAGTTGAGAGCTCGCTGGAGGATCAGACCCTACAATGGAACTAGCTAGGGCCAGCATCTGTGCTAATGAACACCCGGCATGCTTCACTGGCACGGCTATGCCTAGCTAGGAGCCGAGCCCAGGGACCTCCTGATTTTATAATGCAAGCCACTGGTATCACAGCATGTTTAACCAACTCCGTACAGTAGATTATACTGTGAAACAATGGGCAGCGTTGAGGAAGTTTGTCCTGCTGCCTCCGGCTGTGTCGCAGCTCTCTGGGGAATCGGGCATCCGTCACCATGGGCAAGCTGTCGTTCTTGTAAAAGGTTTCATCCTAAGCATGCATTCAAAACTAGCCTGTAGTGGCTGGCGCCTCGGCATGTTCATTTGAAGGGCTTGACTGCCTGATCAGCTCCTCCAGGGGCTAAGAAGCGTGCTTTATTCCCCGCCCCGCCCCATAGTACCACTAGTATGTTATTTATAGATGCTCTGGACTACCAGAGCCCCACCGCCCATGGAGTTATTATCCAAATTATGACGCATGGAATTCTGTGACAGCAGAAGTGCAGGTGGTCAGACTCGATGATCACTGTGGTCCCTTCTGACCTTAAAAAATCTATGAATTAAAATCTATGAGGTTAGCCTCAACTGAGATCAGAGCTGGGCTAGTCCCTGTACAAACACATTGTGAGAGATAATCCTCCCCCCCCCCCAAGAGTTTACAGTCTAAACATGCAGAGGTTGGGAGAAAAGAGGTGGTGTTATCCCCATTTTAAAAATGGGGAATTGAGGGCCAGAGAGATTTAAGTGACTTGCTTCAGGTCACCCCACAAATCTGTGGCAGAGTTCAATCTAACTCTCCTGAGATCTACGTCAGCGCTTTAACTGCAGTAGGGGGGGCGTATGAACTAGCAAACGAGATCTTCCATGAAGTTGCCTTGAGCTATTCTCTGAAGTAGAAGGTGGCTATTTTTCTACTATCTGCCTTTTAATTTTAAAAAGTTTCTTTCCCCCTTGAAGTAAACAACCACTGTGCATAACTTTTAAAAAAGCCACTTTGTGTTATAGCAGTACGATTGATCCCATTGTGTTATAGCAGACGTGCCATGCTAAAACGCAGTTCTCAGGGGTTTTTATTTTAGCCCCAAGTTCCTTGGTGAAAGTGACACTTCGGGAATTTCAGTATTTTCGTTCACTCTGCGGTTTTATTTTTGCGATAGAACATACATGATCATCTTCTTATGCTCCAGGTGGTAACCGACAAAAAACATTATTTATTTATTTAAGTCTGATCAGTCCATAAGTTTGGTTTCTGGTGCTGAGTAAGTGACAAGAAGATTTGCTTTTTTAAATAAAGATCAGTTTTTAAAACATAAGTCAAGCAACTTTCAGGCTAAGAAACATTTGATGTCTGTGCCACTGTTTTTAATTTGGCCCAGGCTGACAGTTGCTGCAAGTCATGGCAGGCAGACAGCCGTCTGAGGGCCTATGGCCAGTCAGTTGGTGGTTCCAGGCCAGTATTGAGTGATCAAGTAGCCATGTCACCAAAGGACACACACATGACAAGCCCGAACTGGCCTCCTCATAGAACGAAAGGCGGTCAAGTGGTTCAGGCACTAGACTAGGACTCAGAAAACCTGGGTCCATTCTCAGCGCCACCACAGATGGCCTGTGTTGACCTTGAGAAAGTCACTTAATTCCCAGATCCTCAGCTTCCCACCTGTAGCA